CCGAGCTGAATAAGGGCGTCAAATGACGGCAAGACGGACCCCTGGCGGAAACGCTGCTGCTAGCTCAATATATTGTTTAGAATTGCATCTGTGGACAGCCCTGCTCCTCCGATCGTGCTTTAAAGAAAAGAAAATGATAATCATAAAACACATATGAGGCATCAAGTAACATTTTCTGTAAGAAAACGATTACACTTCTCCAAAAAGAGAAGTCACCTGTACACATGCTTCACTATCCATGCTGACTATAAAGGAACCAGCCGATTCGAATCATCTGTATTATTGGGCCTAATGTACCCTACAACAGTTAACCATGATCAGCCCGCTGTCAAATAGTTCCAGAGACTCTCTTCTTGCTGTCTCCTCTTCATGATAACTGCTGCAGTTTGTGTTCAACTAACACTCGTTTATTGCAAAATGTCATCTGAATGTTCCCTAATGGTGAACATCTGTCAACATCAGAACAATAACACAGAGCTGTCAGTGAGTCTCTGCTAATCCTCGGACATTTGATCTAATCTGGCTTTACCCTTACACCCCCCCCCCATCCCTAAGACTCATGTTTAGATATTGCAGCTCTTATTCCAGCTCTCATTCTCTGTCTATCACTCAGCCTTCACATTTAAAAGGACAAGTCATGGGGAGTACAAAACAATAATGCTGCTCCACAAAATGTATTCATTTGGCAGGTGGCAGGCAAAGATGTGATGAAAGAGTGTGTGTGTGTGTGTGTGTGTGTGTGTGTGTGTGTGTGTGTGTGTGTGTGTGTGTGTGTGTGTGTGTGTGTGTGTGTGTGTGTGTGTGTGTGTGTGTGTAGTCCAGGGAGCTGGAGATTGCTGTGTACAGGAAGGACTGGCGGGCGCTGAGCGGGGTGAAGTTCCTGCGGCTGGAGGACTTCCTGGATAATCAGAGGCATGGCATGTGTCTGCAGCTGGAGCCCCAGGGCCTGCTCTTTATTGAGGTTCATATTCTCATATGTCACCTTTATCTCCTCCTGCATCTCTCTATATTCAAACTACACTTAGGCACTGACTCATCACTGGACACTGTGCTTCTTACATATGAATGCGATCAATCTCATTCCAGATAAAAGTTTGGCTTCTAATATAATAACTGACACATTTCATTCTTGTTTATCTTCTTCTATTTATGTATACAGACTCAAATCATTCTCTGCATCATTTTGCTTCTTGTATTATTTTAGTTTTTTACATGTATATAGTTTAATTCATCTTCATTACTTGCACATTGGTCTTGCAACATAATATTGCACCATTTTATTCTACTCTATTTTACTGTTTCTTTTTCCACTATTTGTATTGTTTTTTTTGTGTTATTGTTTTATGTCTTATGTCATTTATGTTGCAGTTTTGGAGGGCCTTTCAACTTAAGATTTGTATTGCCTGTACACTGTAGCTACTGTGCATGTGACGATAAAACGCCTTTCAATCTTGAATATTTAAAAATGAAAAGTTTTACTCATGTCCATACATGTATATTATCATTTATTTTCTATTATTGAGCAATCAGCTGGGGATTAATAGGTGCGATTAAAATAAATATCACACAGCCACACAAATATCCATTTTACTTCCGTCCCAAATAAAAATCACAATTCTGCTCATTTCCAGGTGACGTTTATCAATCCTGTCATTGAGCGGCGCTCCAAACTCCAGAGGCAGAGGAGAATCTTCCCAAAAGAGAAAGGTAGCAACATGTTCTCATATTGCATCATGTATTCAAATATTCATTTATTACTTTAGCTTGTTGAAGTCGTGTTTCAGGCTCTCTTTAGTTATAGTTTACTGTTAACAAAATGATGAGACATAAAAATAAATCTGACATAATTTTGTTAAACATTTGTTATTATGATATATTTTAGATTTCCACTGCTTGCATTTTAAAGCCTTTGATTATACACTTCTGATCCATCTCTTTTTTTGTCTTCAGGGAAGGACTTCCTGCGTGCGGCTCAGATGAACATGAACTTTGCTACGTGGGGCCGTTTGATGATGAGTATCCTGCCCCCCTGCAGCTCCCTGGAGCCCATGAGCCCTCCCTTAGCTGGCCATCTCAATGGCCCCCCATCAGCAAACACTTCCCCGCCACGGTAAGACTCTGTGGGCCAGAAACATCTCTCTGACACAGCTGTGACAACGCTGTCACAAAAGTGGCCAATTATTGTCTTTGCTCAGCTTTCCACTGGGGAGGGCTGAGAGTAACTCACTGACCTGCATTCAGAGTTAGGAGAGCAAGACACGCTGGTTTGTCACAAAAAGTGTAGTTGAGCGACATACACAGACTGATTTGGAGGCAAGTGATGACGATTTCTATGTGAAAAGGTTTGTATCCACCAAGCCAGAAACCCAGGGGACTGACTCGTGTCCAAAAGAGACACAGGAGGCTCGAACTGAGACAGATGACACAAACACTCAGACAGGAAAGGGAGCAGAAGGTCAAAATAGATGCTATCCCCAAAGAGAAAGGAAGAGACCTCAGTATTCAGAGGACTACGAATGTAAAGTACAGTGTGACGACCAGAAGTATGTAAATATTGACTACTGCTACAGAGTAATGTGAAATGTACCAAACACCTTTAAAGAGGCCATGAATTAAGCAGAGTCAAAACTCTGGACTGATGCTATGCAGGAGGAAATGAATTCTCTTAAGGAAAATGACACATTCACATTGACCACACTACCAGAGGGCAAAAATGCAGTGGGGGTCTAGATGGGTCTATACAATCAAAGAAAACACAGAAAAGACTGAGATATATAAAGCCAGATATGTTGCAAAGGGATATAGTCAAGTGGCAGGAATAGACTATAAGGAGACATTTTCTCCGACTGCGAACATGACATCAGTAAGAAGCTTGACGCAACTGGCAGCTCAACATGACTTACAGCTACATTACATGGATGTTAAAACTGCGTATTTACATGCTCCAATTGATTGTGAGCTGTATGTACAGCAACCGGTGAAGGTTTTGAGGTCAAGTCAGGTCCGGTGAGAAAGCGCTGTTTTAATCCCTCCCCTCTCAAGCACGCTCTAAGTGCCTCCCCTCTCTCATGCACGCGCTAGCTGCCAGAGCATGTGAGAAAAGGAGAAGCATGGCTGCAAGTGGGAGTGCAACTGCCGCTGCACCTCGGCTTGTTGACAGAAGCGACATTTGGAAGTATTTTAGCTATATCTCTGACAGTGAGGGCAAGCCTACGGACACCATGAGGCCT